ACTGGAGGTGCTGGTTCTGGGGGTGCTGCTGCTGGAGACACTGAGGTTGGAGACCCTGGGACTGGAGGTGTCGGCTCTGGGACTGGAGCTTCTGGAGCTGCTGGAGGTACTGGAGCTGCTGGAGCTGCAAGTACTGGTGCAGCTACGCCGACACGACTGTTCTTCGCTCCGCCGTCTCCGTCGTCTCTGCCGCCGTCTGCCTCTGTTCTTCGTCAGGTTCTTACTCTCCCGTCGTCTACTGGTCTTCCGTTACAGCCTGGCTCACCGCTGCCTGCTCCTTCTCCTTACACTGAGCAGACTGGTAGTCCTGCTGAGCGTCGTGAGCCTGCGTCGCATCCTGTCTCGCCTGTTCGTCCTGGTCGTACTGGTCGTCGTGTTCCTCGTTCGCGTCAGCCGGCTGTCCCCAGCGCACACCTCGTAGTCCGTCGTCCTTCCTCTGCTCCGCAGCCTGTTCCTCTGCCGTCTCCTCCTGCGTCCTCTTTGTCTGACGTTCCGGACCCTGAGTCTGACCGGTTTCGTGCTGAGCACCCTACTGTCACGCGTCTGCTAGCCACTGTTGTCACTGACCCGTCGTTTGAGTCTACTGCTGCGTCTGCTCTTGTCGCTGAGCTTGTTGACTTTGCTACTGCCTGTCGTCTAGACTTCGCTGCCAGTCTTGTTGCTGAGTCTGAGTCTGTCTGTCCTCCGTCCGTCGGGGGTGAGTGTGCTCTTAGCACGGACGTCCTTGAGGACAGGCACGAGGACCTTGAGTGTCTTGCGGCTGCTGCGCCTCATCTCGTGGCCATGCTGCTTGCCCCTGAGGGAGACCCGGATGCACCAGACATCCCGACCCCGCGCTCTTACGCTGAGGCAATCGCGGGTGAGTACTCCTCTCAGTGGCAGACAGCCATGGACGTAGAGATGGCATCCTGGAAGTCCACAGGCACTTACGTCGATGAGGTTCCCCCTCCTTGGGCGAACATCGTCGATGACATGTGGATTTTCAGGGTGAAGCGGCCGCCAGGTTCTCCGCCTGTCTTCAAGGCTCGTTACGTTGCTAGAGGCTTCAGTCAGCGAGAGGGAGTTGACTTCTTCCAGACCTTCTCCCCCACCCCGAAGATGACTACTCTTCGGGTGCTGCTGCATGTTGCCGCTCAGCGTGACTACGAGCTTCACTCTCTTGACTTTAGCACAGCTTTCTTACAGGGCAGCCTGCACGAGGAGATATGGCTGCGCCGCCCACCTGGCTTCACTGGGTCGTTCCCTCCTGGTACCCAGTGGAGCCTCCGGCGGCCAGTCTACGGTCTCCGCCAGGCACCACGTGAGTGGCACGACACACTGAGGACGACACTGGCGGCTCTTGGGTTCGCTCCTTCGACAGCTGACCCGTCGCTGTTCCTGCGCACCGACACTTCGCTGCCACCGTTCTACATCCTCGTGTACGTCGACGACTTGGTCTTTGCCACTGCTGACACTGAGGCTCTCGCTCAGGTGAAGTCGGAGCTGCAGAAGAGACACACGTGCACAGACCTGGGTGAGCTGCGCAGTTACCTTGGCTTGCAGATCACTCGGGACAGAGCACGTCGCACCATCACATTGACTCAGTCACACATGGTGCAGCAGGTCCTTCAGCGCTTCGGCTTCACCTGGTCCTCGCCATAGCACACTCCTCTGGCTACAGGTCACTCGCTCTCAGCTCCACCTTCGGACGAGTCCGTAGAGCCGAGTGGTCCTTACCCAGAGCTAGTGGGCTGCCTCATGTACTTGATGACCTGCACTCGTCCTGACCTTGCATACCCTCTTGGCCTTCTCGCTCGCTACGTGGCTCCTGGTAGGCACCGACCAGAGCACATGGCTGCTGCTAAGAGGGTACTGCGCTACTTGTACAGTACATCGGGCATGGGGCTCGTGCTTGGAGGACGGAGTGAGGTGGTCCTCACTGGGCACTCAGACGCGTCTTGGGTTGACGACCAGACTACACAGCGGTCGTCACAGGGTTACACATTCAGCCTTGGCTCTGGCTCTGTTTCTTGGCGGTCTACACGCTCGTCTTCTGTTCTTAGCTCCAGTTGTGAGGCTGAGATCTACGCCACCGCCATGGCTGCACAGGAGCTACGCTGGCTCACCTACCTGCTGACTGACTTGGGTGAGCGGCCTCGTTCTCCTCCAGTGCTGTACGTTGACAACAAGGCGGCCATTGCCTTGTGTGAGGAGCACAAACTGGAGCACAGAACGAAGCACATTGCTCTGCGTTACTTCCTGGCTCGAGAGTTGCAGCAGCGAGGCCAGCTTCGTCTTCGCCACGTGGCCACTCGGGCCAACACTGCTGATATATTCACCAAGGCACTTCCTTCTGGTGATCATCAACGCTTTTGTACTCTATTGGGCCTTGTGCCTACGTTTCCGCACTTGCTGTAGTCTCTGCTTGTACTGTGATTTATATATACCTGCATGCTGGCTCTTGCTAGGTAGTCATCACTGTACTGTTATTGTTGCATATATATCTCTGCATGTGAACTGGCCTTGTGGCCCTTTGCTTGTGCTCAGAATGTGTGGTGACGTTGGGATCCACCCTGAGCTTGTTTTGTTTCTCTTGACTGGTCGTGTGACCCCTTGTTCTCCCCCACTTTGCCTATGGGGGTGTGTCAAACTATATGTGCTGCATATTGTCTAGGCTACCCGCCCACATGGGGTACAACCCAATTAGGGTTTACTACTTGTACTCCTGCATCCTGCTAGTTCAATCATTCCTGCTGCTAGATTCTAACACGCGCGCAATCCTACCGAGCGGATTTGCGTTTAGTTGAGATTTGAGATCGTCGTAAGTCTTCAAAGTGACCGGATCCTATGCAACATAGGTGCCGTCCATGGCAACTACAATCCAGGGATCCCACTGTCCAGTTTGAAATCTTCTTCCGAGGCAGCAAGATTGTCGGCACCAGGCCATAGAATCCACTCTCATAAGCACGTCTTCATTGAACCGAATATACGCCTTGACAATCGTGTGGGCGTGTGCGTGAGAAACCGAAGAGCAGGCCTAGCTGACGATACGTCATCCGGCTCCCAAAGCGAACCAGGACAAGCGCAACTCGGAGAGCCACCTTGTACGCTTGTTTGCCAGCACTGATGAGGTGTGCAGACCATGCACGACACAGGTAACTGAAGGCGCCGCGATCCAGACGAAGGGCTTCGTACAGGTGGTCTAGCGACAAGTGCAAGAAGTGGTCAACCCAATGCGCTCGTTGAATGCCGCTGACATTTTGCCAGGAAACCTGGGAATCGCTTTCGTCAACAAAGTCAAGAAGCATGGGCACCATGACACCGACTGCAGCGACCAAGGGGAGTAGAACAAAGTGTGTGAGGGCCATCGCTAAACGTCGTGCCCACCTAGGTGTGAAAGGCAGGGCCATTTTGAATAATGACTAGACTGTTCGGACGGGTGTGTTTTTTATAGGCTCCCGTCACACTCGGTCCGGGTTGACGCCACTACCCCGCCGAGGCGGGTTGTGAATGGAGACGCGTCTCATGTTGTGACTCCCTGATAGGTGCGACACATTTCATGTTGTGACACACTAATACTTATATCTGCGACTCCGTCGCACAATCCGACCACCCAAGCGAACTGCAAATCTGACACTTTTGCAAAGAGGCCTGCGAATCGGCCACCGAATGTGTCAGATTGCAGAACCCTGTGAATGTGGCCGGAAAGTGGTCGCTTTTGAATCGAACATGTAGTCGCCTTTGGCGAAGGATATATTAGACCAAATGGTCGACTATATTTCAGCCTAACCACCTTGTATAGTGTAATGAATGTGAAATATTATAAATTTTAAACACACATGTAGTGTTTTTTAAAATTGTGTATTGTGAAAGCGAAGCTGCTTGTACTGCACAATTGGCATCGTCGAAGCGCGCTAAACGCCCTTCTCCAACTACAAAAACCGTGGGTTGGAGCTCATTTCCCTCCACCCACGTTTCTCAATTTTCAAACGGCTCACTCAACATTTCCGCTCGAGTAGTTTTTCCCTCCAAGCTGGCTAGGATTAAATCGCTTCCTAGAGGCGAGTCACCCTCTACTTTACTCAGCGACATTTTCAACTTCAATCGCTCAACGATGGCACCTACGCCGACACTTAACAACGGGAACTCGTCAACCCCCGCTTCCGACTCCGACCGTAACGCCCGCGATTCTGCGGGCGAACGCCGTAACAAGCGTCGGGCAGAAGACGGACCGTCCGCCCCGACTGCAGTGGACGTGCTGCTGGGCGGGCTCGAGGTCAACAAAAACGCCGAAACGTGTCAGAACTAGCTGTAGAAAGTAAGAATGAAGAAAGGAGGGTTTGCACTAGCAACAATGGTGGTACAAATAGCTAACCCTAGAAGGGTTGTACTCGCTATAGAGCACCCCACTGCAGGCTAGAGCATAATATTCTGACACACCCCCATAGTCAAAGTGGGGTGTAATCAGCAGAGCAAGCAAAGTAGTACAAGCTCAGGGTGGATCACGATGTCACCACACATTCTGAGCACAAGCAAGAAGCAATAGTTTAAGGTTCACAATTATGAGCAAAGCTAGAGGCAGTCACAGGGGGCAAGTGAGGAGGAGGAGGGCTGGTGAGAGGAGAGTAGATAGGAGGCGACGACTGAAGATGCAGACACTGTCAGAAATAACTGAGCAGGAATGAATGAACTAGAACAGAGTTTGGTACAAGTAGGAAACCCTAACTTTGTGTACCCCCTAAGGTGTAACCCACTACAGCCTAGACAATATAAACATGCAATGTTTGACACACCCCCATAGGCGCAGTGGGAAACAACCACAGGGTCACAAGACCAGTCAAAGCAAAGCAAAGCAAGCTCAGGGTGGATCTCAAGGATTCCACACAAATTCCGAGCACAAGCAAGCGGTCACAAGACCAGTTCACATGCAGGTTTATAACAAAGTAAGAGATACAGTGATCACAACCTAGCAAAAGTAAGCAAGAAGGCATATATATATAGTGATCACAGTACAAGTAAGGTCAAGAGGTAAGCAAGTGAGGCCCAGTAGGTACAAGGCCTAGTAGAGTGCAAAAGCGCTGATGGTCACAAGGCTGAAGCGCCTTGGTGAACACATCAGCAGTGTTGGCCTCCGTGGCCACGTAACGCAGACAAAGCTGACCACGCTGCTGCAGCTCTCGAGCAAGGAAGTACCGCAGAGCGATGTGCTTCGTTCTGTGCTCCAGTCTGTGCTCCTCACACAAGGCAATGGCAGCCTTGTTGTCGACGTACAGCACTGGAGGAGAACGAGGCCGCTCTCCGAGGTCGGTCAGCAGGTAGGTCAGCCAGCGTAGCTCCTGAGCAGCCATGGCTGTGGCGTAGATCTCAGCCTCACAACTGGAGCTGAGAACAGAAGAAGAGCGAGTAGAACGCCAAGAAACTGAGCCAGAGCCAAGGCTGAAGGTGTAACCCTGGGACGACCGCTGAGTAGCCTGGTCGTCTGCCCAAGAAGCGTCTGAGTGCCCTGTGAGAACAACCCGGTCTCGCCCTCCAAGCACAAGCCCCATGCCCGACGTACTGCACAAGTAGCGCAACACCCTCTTAGCAGCATCCATGTGCTCCTTCCGGTGACGGCCAGGAGCGACATAGCGTGCTAGGATGCTAAGAGGGTATGCAAGGTCAGGTCGAGTGCAGGTCATCAGGTACATGAGGCAGCCCACAAGCTCTGGATACGGGCCACTCGGCTCTACGGACTCATCCGAAGGCAGAGCTGAGAGCGAGTGACCGGTAGGCAGAGGAGTGGACTGAGGCGAGGAGTACGTGAAGCGGAAGCGCTGGAGAACCTGCTGCACCATGTGTGACTGAGTCAGGGTGATGGTGCGCCGTGCTCTGTCCCGGGTGATCCGCAAGCCAAGATAGCTCGTCAGCTCACCCAGGTCTGTGCACGTGTGTCTCCTCTGCAGCTCCGACTTCACGTGAGCGAGTGCCGCGGTGTCAGCAGTGGCAAAGACCAAGTCGTCGACGTACACGAGGATGTAGAACGGCGGCAGCGAGGTGTCGGTGCGTAGAAACAGCGACGGGTCAGCAGTAGAGGGAGCGAACCCAAGAGCCGCAAGTGTCGTCCTCAGTGTGTCGTGCCACTCACGTGGCGCCTGGCGGAGACCGTAGACCGGCCGCTGAAGCCTCCACTGGGTGCCAGGAGGAAATGACCCAGTGAAGCCAGGGGGGCGGCGCAGCCAGATCTCCTCGTGCAGGCTGCCCTGCAAGAAAGCAGTGCTGAAGTCAAGAGAGTGAAGCTCGTAGTCGCGGTGAGCGGCTATGTGCAGCAGCACCCGAAGAGTAGTCATCTTCGGGGTGGGGGAGAAGGTCTGAAAGAAGTCTACTCCCTCTCGCTGACTGAAGCCTCGAGCCACGTAGCGCGCCTTGAAGACAGGTGGAGAACCCGGAGGCCGCTTCACCCTGAAAATCCACATGCCACTGACGATGTTCGCCCCAGGAGGGGGAACCTCGTCTACGTAGGTGCCTGTGGACTTCCAGGAGGCCATCTCTGCGTCCATGGCTGTCTGCCACTGAGAGGAGTAGGGACCCGCCATCGCCTCAGCGTAAGAGCGTGGGGTCGGGATGTCTGGTGCATCCGGGTCTCCCTCAGGGGCAACTAGCAAGGACACGAGACGGGGCAAAGCAGCAGCAAGGCAGTGGAACTCCTCCTGTCTGTCCTCAAGGACGTCCGTGCCGAGGGCACACTCACCCCCGACGGACGGAGGACAGGCAGACGCAGACTCAGACCTAGCGACAAGGCTGGCAGCGTAGTCTAGGCGACAGCGAGCAGCAAAGTCAACCAACTCAGCGACCAGGGCAGACGCAGCAGAGGACTCAAAGGTCGGGTCAGTGACAACTGTAGCGAGGAGACGCGTAACAGTGGGACTGGCAGCACGACGACCAGTGCGAGCAGTACGAACAGGCGACGCAGGACGAGACTCAGGCTCACGACGCTCTGTAAGACCTCCTGTGGGACCAGCGTAAGGGGAGGGAGCAGGGAGAGGCGAGACAGGCGGTAACTGTGACTGCGGCTGGACAGGCAGAGGACACTCGACGGAGGGAGGAGGACAAGGAGGAGGAGCCTGACCAAGAACCTGCTGAAGGAGCGGTACGAAGTACGGTCGCGGCCGCGCAGCGTCTCCAGAAGCAGCAGGGACACCAGTGGCAGCCCCAACGCCCGAGTCCTCAGCACCAGCAGCAGCTCCAACGCCCGAGTCCTCAGCACCAGCAGCAGCACCACCGGTCGGGTCCTCAGCACCAGCAGCAGCTCCAACGCCCGGGTCCTCAGCACCAGCAGCAGGGCCACTGGTCAGGTCCTCAGCACCAGCAGCAGCGCCACCGGTCGGGTCCTCAGCACCAGTAGCAGCTCCAACGCCCGGGTCCTCAGCACCAGCAGCAGCTCCAGCCCCCGGGTCCTCAGCACCAGCAGCAGCTCCAGCGTCCGGGTCCTCAGCACCAGCAACAGCACCACCGCTCGGGTCCGCAGTACCAGGAGCACCACTACGAAGACTGCAGCGCCGCGTGTACCACTCGCGGATCACCTGAATGGGGGGGAGCTCCTGGGAAGGAGGGGAAGTACCGGGACGAGCTCCAGAAGCACCTCTCCGGAGGCGGCAGTACTCGAGGTACCTCTCCTGCAGCTGCTGGGAGGAGGGGGCTCCTCCAGGTGGAGCACGCTCAGGCTCAGCACCCCCAGACTCAGCACCCCCAGACTCAGCACGTCCAGACTCAGCACCTCCAGGCTCCGCACCTCCAGGCTCCGCACCTCCAGGCTCAGCACCCCCAGGCTCCACACCTCCAGGCTCAGTACCTCCAGGCTCCGCACCTCCAGGCTCCGCACCTCCAGGCTCAGCACCCCCAGGCTCCGCACCTCCAGGCTCAGCACCCCCAGGCTCCGCACCCTCAAACGCAGCACTCCCAGGCTCAGCACCCCTAGACGCAGGACGCGAGTCAACAGCTACCTCGACAGGCTCATCCGGGTCTACCTGGGACACACCTGAGGGAGCGGCACCCTGAGGGGGGAGGGGGTCTGGTACCTCAGCACCTGGAGCGAGGAAGAGAGGTGGGGGGGGGAGCGGGGCAGTGCGGTAGGGGAAGAGGCGGTAGAAGGGGACGGACTCGTCAAAAGTGACGTCCTGAGAGGCCAGAACCCGGCGCGAGGTGACGTGGTAAAACTGCCATCCAGGCGCGTCGGGAACAAAGCCAAGAAAGACACAGGGAACAGTGCGACGCGAGAGCTTGTCCGCGGACGTGTCGCGGACAAAAGCTCGAGATCCCCAGACCCGGAAACGCGACGCATCGCCAACCTCTCCCGTCCACCGTAGAGTCGGGGAAGTCTCCGGCAAGGAGACACGGGGCCAGAGGTTGAGCTGATGCGCTGCGTACCGGACCGCAAACGGCCACAGAAAGTGGGGAGCAGCCGCATGGGTCAGGGAGGTACGAGCGACCTCCATGACTAAGCCAATGCGGCGCTCAGCAACCCCATTCTGCTGTGGAGAGGCCGGAAGCGTGTACGACTGCTCAATGCCGTGCTCAGCACAGTAGGCTGCCAAGAGGTCGGAGGCGAACTCACCACCCCTGTCAGAGTGCAAGCGCAGGACAGGAAAGTCCGAGTGAAAGCGCTCGCCTAGCTGGAGACGGGCTCGGCTGATCCAGGGGATCAAAACACCAGGGACGTCACCCTTGGCGCGCAAGGGGAAGACCGTGGTGTAGCGCGAGTAGTCGTCAACAACTATCAGGAAGTACCTCTCCTGACCCTGACCACGGACGCGGGCCGGGCCCCACACGTCCATGTGGAGCGTCTGCAGGGGAGCGGTCGTCGGGGGAAAGGAGGAGGAGTGAGGAGCGGCGCGCTGCCGCCCCTCGACACAGGGAATGCAGTCAGGAGCAGGGGAGTCAGGAAGGGGAGGGAGCACCCTGGGAAGACCAGCAACAAGGTCCCGTTTGTGCATGGCCCGCAGGCGCTGCACAGACGGGTGACCAAGGCGGTGGTGCCAGAGGACGGTGTCGTTCGCCAGAGAGCGACACGAGCAGGGGGCGGACAGCTGACCTGACGCTGACGCAGACGCAGCTACCTGAGGGGACTCAGTGGTCAGTGTGTACAGGTCAGACCCCGGCTCTCGAGTGAAAGTAGCTAGGTGGCGGCCCGTCCGAGCACACGTGCAGTGAGTCACACGCTCGTAGGCAGGGGTGAACTGGTGAACACCCGAGTCCTGGAGCGCACTACCTGCCACCAAGTTCGTGGAGAACGAGGGGAGGTAGAGACCTGAGAGCGTGCCGGACGGAACCGCTGGACACGGAAGGGTGGTGGAGGAGGTCGCAAGGACCGGACCCCCAGAGGGGTCAGCAAGAGAGACAGCAACCGGCCGAGCTAGAGGCTCAAGGACAGTGCGGTCACGAAAGAAAGAGCGAGAAGCACCTGAGTCCAGTGTGAAGGTGTGCAGTGCTGCAGTCGACTCAGTACCAGGGGGCACAGACGCACAAGCACCTAGAGCAGCAGCTGCAGTAGTACCTGTGGAAGCAGACACACTAGCACCTAGAGCAGCAGCGGGGCTGGCCTGAATGCCCGGGTCGGGCGGAACACGCAAGTACTGAGCACCCTCTCCACTAATAGACATCGCATACATGGCAGTGAGAATAGCATCAAAGTCAAGTGCCCAAATATCAACACCCTTCCTGAGCAGATCAGCCCAGCGCGGCAGCTCACCCCCACCAGGAAACTGAGTGCGCCACGCATCGTTGAGGCGGGCGAAGCAGCGCTCCGTCTGGTGCGGCCCCCCACACGTCTGGCCAGTGCGGTCACCTGTACGAATAACGTACTGGCAGGTGACGCTGCGCCGCGCATACCACTCACGGGCGGCCTGAAGGGTCGGGGCAGGCTGCTGACTCTGACCGCCCCCCGGGCCTCCACGACCACCACCCCCTCCGCCTCCGCCCCGGCCACCTCCACCCCTGCCGCTGCCACGACCACCTCCGCCTCCGCTGTCGCCTCCACCACCGCCGCCACTAGCCTCTCCAGTCGCACCTCCACCGCCACCACCTCCACCCCCGCCTCCTCCGCCACCACCCCCACTCCTGCCACTCCTGCCCCTGCGTCGTCCGCCTGAAGCAGACGCAGCCCCGACCTTCTCAGCACCAAGGAGGTCGACAGCAGCAGCAGAGGCGACAGAGGGGAGGAGGGGGGAAGGGGAGCACCCCTCGAAGAAGGGGCCGCGGGGGTCGCCACGAGAGGTGCCTACAGCGACGATACTAGCCTCGGCTGCAAGCAGTTCCTTCTCGAGGAGGGCTATGGTGAGCTCAGTGGGGGAGCGAGAGAGGAACTGGTCCCTGACAGGGCGCAGAGAGTCAGGGAGGCGGGTGACAACGTGGTAGAGAGTGATCCAGAGCGGGGGGGGGTTGCTAGCGAGGAACTCATCAGGCATGGCAGCGCGAAAGCGAGCCTCACTAGTCTTAAGGTGGGTGATGAGGTCTGCGACAGTGTGAAAAGAGGCTAGGTCGGGGAACAGGTAGGGGAGAGTGAGGCGGCCTAGAGTGGCAGAAGCGGGTGAGGAGTAGCGGGCCACTACAGCTGTGTAGAGGTCCTTAGCAGTCTTGCACTGGCCGAAGTGCTCGCGCTCATCTAGCGGCAGGGAGTTGCGAATAGCAAAGCGAGCGTGCGCGTCACGGGTCTGCCACTGTGAGCGCTCAGCTGGGGGGGCAGTAGCGAGTGGGGCGGTCGCATGGCCGAGAGCGTGGTCGTACAGTGTAATATCTTCCTTGGCAGTGAGCTGTAGGAAAAGGTGCAGGTCATCTAGCCAGGTTTCGAATTTGACCGGACGGCCCTCGGCGTCGAAAGCTAGAACAGGAGGACTAGCCATAGCGACAGCGGCAGTAGTAGAAGCAGTAAAGTCACTGAACAGGCGTGCGCAGGGTCAGCAGGGCCGGTGGGGCCTACGGACTGTAGTGGCGCACAAGCAGCAGTAGCAGGAAGTGTAGTAGTAGGATCTGCAGTGGTGCACAGGCGCAGCAGGCGGCAGCGAGAGCCGGCGCAGCAGGGGCGGGCTCAGCAGCGGTGATACGCGGGCGGCAGCGGGCGCAGCAGCGGCGGTGCGCGGGCGGCGGCGGGCTCAGCAGCGGCGGTGCGCGGGCGGCGGCGGGTTCAGCAGCGGCGGTGCGCGGGCGGCTGCGGGCTCAGCAGCGGCGGGCCGGGAGCAGTGCGGGCAGCGTGCGGGCCGGCGGCGGTCAGCGCACGAGCCGCGCAGGCTCAGCGCGGGCTGTGCGGGCTGCTCGCGGGCTGCGTAAGCGGGTCGCGGGCGGCTCGCGGGGGTTCGCGGGCAGGTCGCGGGCTGCTCGCGGGCAGTTCGCGGGCTGTGCGCGGGCTGCGCGGGCTGGTCGCGGGCTGTGAGCGCGGCGCGCTGTGCGGTTCGCGGGCGGCGTGACGGGGCCGATCGGGGCGCTAAGGGGCGACGCGACGGGGGCCGTGAGAGGCCGCTAGGAAAAAAAAATTTCGACGGGGCCGCAGGGCCGCTAGATCGTGCTAGATCGACGGGGCCAGCGGGGCCGGAAACAAGCGAAGGTAAGCAGGTAGGTAAGTCGGTGGGCCCTAAGAACAGTCCTAGCGAAGGACCTGCTCTGAAACCATGTCAGAAATAACTGAGCAGGAATGAATGAACTAGAACAGAGTTTGGTACAAGTAGGAAACCCTAACTTTGTGTACCCCCTAAGGTGTAACCCACTACAGCCTAGACAATATAAACATGCAATGTTTGACAGACACACGGGCAACAGACGGCTCTGGTGCGACAACGTGGCTACCGGGAATGAGTGCCCCGGAGTACAGGAGTAACAGGCTCCGCGGCTAATATGCGCGGCAGGAGCAACGGACCCACAGGCGACGGCGCAACCGGCTCTCTGAGCTACCGGGAATGAGTGCCCCGGATTACGACACGACGGCAACCTCCGCTCAACCTCCCCCAACAGTCCCACACCCCTCGACACACACCCCCTGCTGCGCCCCTAGCTCCACTCCCCCTTCACCCCCCTAGGACCACTCCTTCGGCTCCCCACACAACCACCCCCCTGAGCGGCAGCTGCAGCAGCGGGAGACGGAGGAGGAGGAGAAGGAGGGGACGGGGCACACAACCGGCACCCCCACACCCGCCACCCCCACACTCCACATCCCCAAACCCTAAAACGGGTGGGATAGGGGCAGGAGCGCGGGGGACGGCGAGAGGGGGACGGACGAGGCGCGCGCAGGCTGCCCGCGCCGCGCGCTGGCCTGGCGCAGCCCGTACGGGCCGCGCGCGGGCCTGGCGCAGCCCGTACGGGCCGCGCGCGGGCCTGGCGCAGCCCGTACGGGCCGCGCGCGGGTCCCAGGGGCGCTTCGACGGGCGACGGGGGCGTTTTGGCGGGCGACGGGGGGCGCTCCGACGGGCGACGGGGGCGCTTCGACGGGCGACGGGGGGAGGGCGCTTCGACGGGCGACGGGGGGCACTTCGACGGTGGGAAACCGCCGCGCGCCTCGGGGCGCACGGCGGGCAGAAAACCGCCGCGCGCCCCGAGCGCACGGCGGGATGAAAACCGCCGAAACCCTAAAAACGCCGCGCCTTGCGAGCGCGCAGTAGGCAGAAAACGTCGCGCGCCCGAGGCGCGCGATAAGCAGGACAGCAGCGGAAGCATTAGGTGGCGGGCCCACCCACAGGATCGACCCAGGAGGGTCGACCTGCTCTGATAGCATGTCAGAACTAGCTGTAGAAAGTAAGAATGAAGAAAGGAGGGTTTGCACTAGCAACAATGGTGGTACAAATAGCTAACCCTAGAAGGGTTGTACTCGCTATAGAGCACCCCACTGCAGGCTAGAGCATAATATTCTGATAAAACCCAGCAGCACCCTTCGGTCCCTGTGGCGCCAGTGGCGCCTGTGGCGCCAGTGGCACCTGTGGCGCAAGTGGCGACGGGGGCTGGCGCGGCACACGCGACTGACGCCGAGCACACGCCAGCACCCGCTGCTGGACCGTCGCGTCAGCGCCAGAGGAGGCGGACTGCAGTCTCCTCGTCTGACGCGACCGCCGCCCCTGCGCTGACGCAGGCGTTGACCCCGGACCAGGTCAACGCGCTGCTGTCCCTTCTACAGCAGCAACCCGTCAGCGTTACAGCCGCGGAAACTGCACTACCCGCCGCATCTGCGTCGGCTAAAAAAGAAACTGCAAAAAAGGAAAAAGGCACGCGAGGAGCACGGACGAACCGGCATGATAACGACGCAGCGACCGCCGCTCCCCCTGCTCCAGCGGTCGACAACGACACCGACGACTCTGAAGATGAAGCCGGTGAGGCTCCCGTCAACAATGCTAATTTTATTGGCACGGAACACCTCCCCCCCCTCCCTTCTTCTAACCTTACCTTCTCGGCGGCAACCTTCGTCAACGACTCCGTGCGAGAGCAAGCGGAGCTGCTGGAGGACCTGCGGGCGTACCTGCTGCACGCCGAATACAAGGCGCAGCGCGGCGATCCGGCGGGCGGACTCGAACTCATCTCACACGCTCTCAACCTCATCGCGGGGCGTTTCGAGGTGCTTCAAGTGGAGGACGCCTCCGACTTCCGCACGGCGAAGCGCTTCAAGCTGTACCAGCAGAAGAGCCTGCTGACTTCTCGACCCTTCAAGCAGGCAGTCGCGGACATGGCGGCGATGGACCGTGCGGCAAGCGGATACGCTCGTGTCAACCGCGGCGGAAACAACGGGCCGATGCCGTTCTTACCCAAGCGAGGCCCCCCGCCCACGGCCAATTGCCGTGGGTTCCGAGGCTCATGCTTCCGCTGCGGCCAGCCGGGCCACGTGGCAAGTGCCTGCCCTCGGAACGGGCATGGCGGCCAGGGACCCGCTCCGGTGGTGTAGGAGCGGGCCATGGGACTAGGCGCTTGGGCGCTAGGCACGGTGCACTCTTGAGTGCGAAGACCGTGGGCAACCCTAGGGGTTTGCGATGGCAAGAGGCCAGCCCTAGTAAAGGGTGGGATAGGCTTTGGGCCTAGGAGAGGGAAGGGGAACAACAACCCCTCGGTCCCATATGTTTGGCCACTTGGTGGCATGATGCATGCTAGGAAAGCATTGCTATGTGTGTTGGTTGATTTAATAAAAACTACCTTCCTAAAGGCCTATGGTTTTGGCAAAGAGACTATGAAAATCAAGAGGAGGAAGAGAGAGAGAGAGAGAGAGAGAGAGAGAGAGAGAGAGAGAGAGAGAGAGAGAGAGAGAGAGAGAGAGAGAGAGAGAGAGCGAGAGAGAGAGAGAGAGGGAGATAAAGATAGAGAGAGAGAGAGAGAGAGAGAGAGAGAGAGAGAGAGAGAGAGAGAGAGAGAGAGAGAGAGAGAGAAGAGAGAATGAGAGAAAGCACAATGGACAACGGTGTCCATGGCCCTAGGCATCAGCCCCCACGCACTAAGGGCAGGCACAACCGTCCTACCAAGTGGACGACGGGACAAAAAAAAAAAAAAAAAAAAAAAAGAGGAAACGAGGAGAAGAAGAGACATGCGTTGACATGCGTTAACACTCCCGACACATTCGTTGACATTTCATTCAATGGTTAATTCTCGTCACACCTTCGATCAATGGTTGCCCGTACATGTACATGCACACGCATGCTTTAACATGGAATACTCAACCCTTATACCACTTGGCCTCACATGTACAGGAGCACGACGGTGCGAGGCGGCATGCTACGACGATCCGTACGAATTTGCCGTTACAGACAGAACTATTACACACATGCGCGGTCGTCTCCGCGCGACATTTGCGTGGTGGAGCTCATGGTGCCCCAGCAGCCTTGTCCTCTCCGTCATCGCCAAGGGTTACTGGTTGCCATGGAGCCACGGCCCACCGCAACATTTCCACGATCGCAATCATGTCGGGGCAAACACGCATGCCACGTTCACACGTACCGCCATCCAAGAACTCATAGAGACGGGAGCGGCAATTCCGATGGCCGCAACGGAGCTTACGTGCATAAGTCCACTCAACGTGGTCGAGCAAAAAGACAAATGCAGGCTCATTCTTGATCTGAGGAAAGTCAATGCCAACTTGATCATCCCCAAGTTCAAGTACGAGGGGCTCAGCCGCGTCGCCGACCTGGCGCGCGTTGGGGACTGGATGTTCTCCATTGACCTCAAATCTGGTTACCACCACATCGACATCCACCCATCGTGCTGGAAGTTCCTTGGCTTTGAATTTGACAAGCGCACATACGCATTCCGTTCACTACCATTCGGCCTCGCGACAGCTCCATTCGTTTTCACGCAGCTCATTAAGCAACTAGCTCGGCGTTGGCGAGAACAAGGCATCCGAGTCGTCCCTTACGTGGACGACATCTTATTTCTCTGCCAGTCGAAAGACGACGCGCAAGCAACTTGCCAGCGGGTGATATTGGATCTTAAAGAGGCAGGCCTTGTGATAAACGCGAAGAAATCACAACTGTCACCATCGCAGCGTCTCAGATTCCTGGGCGTAGAACTTGAGACCGATACCGGCCGATTCTCCATCGGTCCAGACCGACGAGCCTCACTACATGCAACCATCCGGAACCTCCTGAGCGCAAGCAAGGCATGCCGACCAGTCCCGGTCCGCCACGTGGCCAGAATCACTGGCATGCTCGCATCGATGGGTGTCGCACTTGGCGCGACCGCTCGCGCATTCAGCCATGCTATGTTACAAGTGATCAACGACGCACCGTCATGGAAAAGCAGCGTCGTTATCCCCCCATCTGCAGCAGAAGAGCTCCAATTTTGGCTCGAGGAGTTCGACCGTTTCAACGGCGCACCTTTTCACGTCAAGAACAGCTACGACGCGGTAATCCATGTGGATGCCAGCTCTCATGGTTGGGGCGCCACTCTGACCACATTTCCGGGTGGCCTCGAAGAAGCTAGAGCCGCTACGAGGAACGTCTAGCACACGACGGGAGATCGAAGGCGTCCTTTGGGCGCTACAAACGTACGCGAACAAGATCAAGCAAAAACACGTTCTCGTGCGGGTGGACAACCAGGGCGTATTCTTCATCCTTCGCAAAGGCGGCTCTCACAGCCCCGACCTCACAACGGCATGCAAGAGCATCATCCGAACATGCATGGCGCTTGGCACGCGCTTGATCATTGAATGGATTCCGCGCGAGCTCAACACACACGCCGACGAGCTTTCAAAAATGGTCGACCACGACGATTACGCGCTGAAAACGCCGTGGTTCCGGATCTTGGAACGTCGTTGGGGTCCTCACTCCATCGACCTCTTCGCAAACTTCCGCAACACCCAACTGCCGCGATTCTGTTCGAAGATTCCCCACCCGGCAGCCATTGCAGTTGATGCATTCTCGATTGCGTAAACAACTGAAAACAACTTCGCCTTCCCCCCACCTCAACTGATCCCAGCCGTCCTCCATCACGCACAACGCACCCATGCATCACTCACACTGATAGTTCCGCACTGGCCAGGTGCAAGCTGGTGGCCACTCTTGCAACCCTCCCCACGCACTTGGGCACCATACATCCACGCGCACATCCCCCTGACACACGGAAGCCAATGCCTAGACGTAGAATCCCATTCAACTGCTTTTTCGGGCATGGGACTACCGCACAGCCCAATCACTGCACTGCGAGTGGCATTTGACTAATTCAAAATATCTACACCTTGTGTTCAGATTTGCTCCCAAAGTTACACGACCAACTGATCAACATGCTCGCGCAGTCCCGCGCCGATTCTACGATCCGGACATATGAACCATACTGGGCCAAGTTTCGAGCCTTCTGCACAAAAGTGAACCTTCCATTCCTTCCGGCATCCGACATGACCCTCGCGCTGTACCTGGTACACGCAATCCGACGCAAAGCCACCCTGTCCGTAGTGCAGCTAACGTGCTCGGCGGTCAGCTTCGCTCATCGCATGACTGGGAGCAAATGCCCGACAACCGGACCGTTCACCACCCAAGTCCGTGACTGTGCAAAACGACACTGCCCTCGCCCTACTCGTCTGAAGGAACCCGTCTCGATCCAACAAGTCCGGGACATGGCCGCGAGTTACTTGCAGTCCGACGATCCTGCGCAATTTCAGAAAGGGTTGATCCCCATCCTCATGTACTCCGGATTTCTGCGATACTCTGACCTAGTAGCCATAAAATGGCAAGACATCCAATTCGACGACGAGGTCATGTGGATTCTCATACCACATTCCAAGACCGATCAAGCTGGTCACGGCACTTGGATACCCATTGCAGCAACGGCGGACCCCTGCTGCCCAGTGCGCTGCACCCGACGCTTCATCCGACTCGCTGGCTATGGTCCACGGTCAGAGGGACCATTGATTCGTGTCTTCGGTCACGGTTCAACCAGCGAGGGCCAGGCTAGGCCACCTTCTTACACTACGATCCGGAACTGGTGCAAGGAAGCCTTCGCAAAGGTTGGCCTTGGAGAGCTGCAGCTAGGCACCCATTCTTTCCGAAAAGGTGCAGCCACAGTAGCAGCCAACACGGGAGTGCCAGATAGAGTCTTCAAACGGCTGGGCAGATGGCGAAGCGACACAGCAAAGGAAATGTATGTTACGCCATACGTCGAGCCTCTTATCGAAGCCTCCCGTACCCTCCAAGATTCGACGCATGCGGTGTCATCGGCACAACACACAGAGGCACTCGTACGCAACCGAAGGCCCCCGCTGCCCATGTCTCAGGGAACCCATTTGTAATGAGAACGATGCCAATTGATAAGAAAGAAAGCAAGCTTTCTCAATATTATAATTTTTAAACACACATGTAGTGTTTTTTAAAATTGTGTATTGTGAAAGCGAAGCTGCTTGTACTGCACAATTGGCATCGTCGAAGCGCGCTAAACGCCCTTCTCCAACTACAAAAACCGTGGGTTGGAGCTCATTTCCCTCCACCCACGTTTCTCAATTTTCAAACGGCTCACTCAACATTCCCACCACCCACCCCAGAGTAAACCGCCTTGCTAATGCCACTTGGATAGGGTATATCCTAGCTAGCGTTATTAGTCCGCACTAGCTTGTGTCGAATGATGATACAAATGTTGTAATACGCCATTTGTAATGAGAACGATGCCCATTTGTAATGAGAACGATGCCAATTGATAAGAAAGAAAGCAAGCTTTCTCAATTCATTACTGTAGAACTGTCCTTAGCGAGGACAGCCCCGAGCAGTTCGCGTCAGTGTGGCTCGGCCTACACTTTCGCACCGAACCAGCCCCGAGTCGCCCCGCACCAATTGCGACATTCCCGAGCCACGCACATCGAGGTCCTCGCCTAGCACGGTTTCGACCCTATAAATGCTCGTCTCTTTATCATTCTCGTCATTCTGTAATTCTCATCTCTTTTATAAAGTCTTCCGCGCACTCTTCTAGTACAACTCATAACATATAGAACCTGACGTGCCTTACAACTTGTAACAGCCCGGTTGTTTCAAAACCCCTGAATCTCATCACCAACCCTCTTCAACAATCACACACGTCACAGTAGTGCGCGAAAAGTGAATTCCGCTCTGGTCAAACCTGGATTTGCCAGCGTGTCCAATTTCGCCAGGGTCGCACGGAGTCTAGAGATCGTCGCGATTCGCGATCGTTGCGTTCGCCATTCTGTTTCGCGTCACATTTCGCATGACGACGAGGCAAAGTCACACAGAAGATGCTCACACAACCACCACACACCAACCTTCAATCTCGTACAAATGGACAACCATTTCGTTTGTCAAACCACTCTCCCTCAACATTTAGCACCTGTTATTTCCACTTCGCCTCCACTACTAGAACGTCGGGTATTTCCCGCACTGTCGCCAGCCCCTCTGGTCGACTAGGCTCCTTCCTCCATCGCTCCCCGTCATCCTTTGAGAGTCTCGACTGTCGCGTTTGTCTCGCGCGAGCGGCGCCGTGCGACGATGGCCATCGCTGGGTCAATAAATAGCATAGCGCTCGCGTGCTTGTTCGACGCGCACGCGCTCCGATGGCGGCTAGTGAAGCTGCAACACGGAGGGCCAGGCGGAACCGCTGACCGGGACGCGTGCAGCCGGTACAGCAGGTGGCATGATGACTCCAAGTTGGAAGAGCCGTGCCGCGCGGAGAGACTGTGGACCACGGACGACCCGCCGCGCCTTGACATGGACGAATCGGATGAACCGCCGCCGCGCCGTCACGCGTACGATCCGCCGCGCGCGGAGACCTGGGCAAGAGTTTCCGATTCCTCCCTTTCCCACCCGCTACCTTCGCCCCCGCCACCACCGCATGCACTCGCGGGCGCAGCCGATTCAGACAAGGGAGCAGCAGCAGCGGACGCGACAGCAACAGCAGCAGAAGCAGCAGCAGCAGCAGCAGCAGCAGCAGCAGCAGCAGCAGCAGCAGCAGCAGCAGCAGCAGCAGCAGCAGCAGCAGCAGCAGCAGCAGCAGCAGCAGCAGCAGCAGCAGCAGCAGCAGCAGCAGCAGCAGCAGCAGCAGCAGCAGCAGCAGCAGCAGCAGCAGCAGCAGCAGCAGCAGCAGCAGCAGCAGCAGCAGCAGCAGCAGCAGCAGCAGCAGCAGCAGCAGCAGCAGCAGCAGCAGCAGCAGCAGCAGCAGCAGCAGCAGCAGCAGCAGCAGCAGCAGCAGCAGCAGCAGCAGCAGCAGCAGCAGCAGCAGCAGCAGCAGCAGCAGCAGCAGCAGCAGCAGCAGCAGCAGCAGCAGCAGCAGCAGCAGCAGCAGCAGCAGCAGCAGCAAGCAGAGGCAGCGGCAGAGGGGCGGAGGCATGCAGCGCCGTTCCTAGTGGACGACATGATGGGCATGGAGCAGCTGAGGCGCGTGACGACGATAAAGGACTGGGGCTACTACCACTGCAGCCACCTGTGCGACGACCCCGAATCCTCTCGTCCCGAAATCGACCCGGATCATGTCTCGCCCCTTCCGCTCCCGGATGCCTTGCGCGCGCGTCTCCAGCAGCTGCTGTCGCGACGCCCGCAGCACGTGAGCGCGCTGCACATGCCCGTGACTCTCGACTACTGCTCAGGCGGGGCGTGGCAGATTACGGAATTGATGCGCTTGGCGCGCTCGTGCGTGAACCTGCGGTCGCTGCACCTTGTGTCTGAGCCGCCCAGAAACGCCTCGTGCCCGATACATCTGGAAAAGCCCAGCGTTTGGAGATGGAAGGATCAACTTCAGGCGGAGCAGATGAGGGAGCTGATAACGAGTTGTCCGCATCTACGCTCACTGCACTTTATCCTCGGTAGCAATAGCTACCTCACACTGAGTGAAGAAGTGGCTGCCTTGCTCTCCCGTCTCGCCCACCTCTCCCTGCCTCTCTCCGACCTCCCGCCTTACCTCCTGGCCCACCTCTCCTCCCTCCGCTCCCTCCGCCTCTCCCTCTCTGCTCCCCACCATCCGCTCCTCCTCTCCGCTCGCCCCTTCCACTCTCTCTCCCGCCTCTCCCTCCTCCACCTCTCCCTTGGATCCCCCACCACCGGCCTTTCCGAGCCTCTCCCGCCGGACCTGTTTGCTGGGCTCGGACCGAGCCTGTCGTCCTTGACGTTCCTAGTGTGTACAAAACCGACAGGGGCGGAAGAGAAGACGAGGAAAAGGCGTGGTGAGAGGGCGAAGAGGGCAGGGGGTAGGGGTGGGGGGATAGAAGAAAGTGTGGAAGGAGGAGGTGGGGAGGCAGAGGAGGAGGGTGGCTGGTGGGTGGGCGATGGGTGGGGAGGCGAGGACTGGGTGGTGGGGTGGCTGCCTGCCTCGCTGTGGTCGCTCACGCGCCTGCAGCAGCTGACCACCAACGTGGGAGGCGACTGGCCCTGCACGGGCCTCAACGCCCTCTTCGCCCCTGACTCCACTCTAGGCCACTGCACAAACCCCAACGCCTCAAGCACACTCGCTCCCTCATCCTCCTGCCGCTGCTGCACTTGCCCATCCTCCCCTGGAAACGACGATTCCAATCACCCGTACCAGTGCCACCAGCAGTGCCTAGCCGCCCTTCCTAACCTAACCTCTGTCTCCCTCCTCGCTCACCGCACTTTCCCTCCATGCCTCTCCTCCCTCTCCTCCCTCACTCATCTCTCCATCCCCCTCGCCTCCCCTCTCCTCTCCCACGCTGCTCTCGCCCTCTTCGCCCACTGGCCCCGTTTGTCTCATCTGCACGTCAATGGTGAGGGTCCCGCCGAACCTCTGTTGTGGCCCGAAGCAACCTTCTGTCACACCAAACCTCCCTTGTGCCTCAAAGCAACCGCTTCGTCAACCTCCGTCCGCCACATCACTCTCACGGGGACAGCTGGCGTCATCCCATTGGCGGTGTGGGGGCGGCTGTGCCCTCAGCTGCAGTCGCTCAAGATACACGGCTCGCCCTTCGTTTCTCTGCACGGGTGGGGGGGAGGAGTGGGGGAGGAAACGGCAAGGGGTGATGAATCAGAGGGCGCATGTGGTGCAGCAGAGAAGGCAGCTGCGTGTTTCTTCCCTTTCCTTGAGGAGCTTGTGCTCCACAATGTGCGCCGCCATGCGGTTTCCCACACAGGGCAAGGGCACTCCAGACCAGAGCACATTGGCCCACAGCAGCAGCAGCAACCGCAGCACACTCTGGCATTCATGGGCATGCTGCCCCGCGTAACCCACTTGGCCATGCATGAGTCCTCATGGCCGTCCAACCCCCCCATGCCCGCACCCAGCATCGTGCCGCACCTCCTCCCCAGCCTCACCTTCCTGCGCATCCACTCCCCCCCACGTGCGCCCCTGCCCGTGCTGCCGCACCTGCGCACGCTCATAGTGGGGTCCTACCCGCACTCCTCGCGCTTCCTCGCGTTGCTCTCGCTTTTCCCCGCCCTCACTGCCCTCCGCATCTTCAACCTCTCCACGCACAACCACCACTGCGCCCTCTCCTGCCCTCCCCACCTCAAATCGCTCCAAATCTGCCACTCCCACACTCCCCTCCTCCCTGACTGCCTGCACCTCTTCTCCTCCCTCACTCGCCTCCACCTCTTCCAATGCACCCCGCTCCGCACCCTCCCCTCCTTCCTCTCCGCCTTCTCCTCCCTCACCCACTTCTCCTTCGATCGTCCCTACAACCCTGTTGTGGTGCCTGTGGGGCTTGAAGGGTACCTGCAGGGGATGAGCTGGGCGCGAGAGCAGGAGGAGGAGCAGAAGAGGAAGAGGCATCAAGGGAGGAAACCGAAGACAAAAGGGGAGATTGAGGAGGAGAGGAAGAGGAAGATGATGTTTCAGAGTGTGTTTGAGGAATCGGTGTTGAGTGAGGCGCAGAAGGAGGAGCAGAGGGAGTGGTGGCGGCAGGTGGGGAGGAAAGAGGAAGAGCAGTGGGAGTGGAGGTGTGAGGGTGTAAGAGGAGAGGGGCAGGACGCGCAGCAGCAGCAGCAGCAGCAGCAGCAGCAGCAGCAGCAGCAGCAGCAGCAGCAGCAGCAGCAGCAGCAGCAGCAGCAGCAGCAGCAGCAGCAGCAGCAGCAGCAGCAGCAGCAGCAGCAGCAGCAGCAGCAGCAGCAGCAGCAGCAGCAGCAGCAGCAGCAGCAGCAGCAGCAGCAGCAGCAGCAGCAGCAGCAGCAGCAGCAGCAGCAGCAGCAGCAGCAGCAGCAGCAGCAGCAGCAGCAGCAGCAGCAGCAGCAGCAGCAGCAGCAGCAGCAGCAGCAGCAGCAGCAGCAGCAGCAGCAGCAGCAGCAGCAGCAGCAGCAGCAGCAGCAGCAGCAGCAGCAGCAGCAGCAGCAGCAGCAGCAGCAGCAGCAGCAGCAGCAGCAGCAGCAGCAGCAGCAGCAGCAGCAGCAGCAGCAGCAGCAGCAGCAGCAGCAGCAGCAGCAGCAGCAGCAGCAGCAGCAGCAGCAGCAGCAGCAGCAGCAGCAGCAGCAGCAGCAGCAGCAGCAGCAGCAGCAGCAGCAGCAGCAGCAGCAGCAGCAGCAGCAGCAGCAGCAGCAGCAGCAGCAGCAGCAGCAGCAGCAGCAGCAGCAGCAGCAGCAGCAGCAGCAGCAGCAGCAGCAGCAGCAGCAGCAGCAGCAGCAGCAGCAGCAGCAGCAGCAGCAGCAGCAGCAGCAGCAGCAGCAGCAGCAGCAGCAGCAGCAGCAGCAGCAGCAGCAGCAGCAGCAGCAGCAGCAGCAGCAGCAGCAGCAGCAGCAGCAGCAGCAGCAGCAGCAGCAGCAGCAGCAGCAGCAGCAGCAGCAGCAGCAGCAGCAGCAGCAGCAGCAGCAGCAGCAGCAGCAGCAGCAGCAGCAGCAGCAGCAGCAGCAGCAGCAGCAGCAGCAGCAGCAGCAGCAGCAGCAGCAGCAGCAGCAGCAGCAGCAGCAGCAGCAGCAGCAGCAGCAGCAGCAGCAGCAGCAGCAGCAGCAGCAGCAGCAGCAGCAGCAGCAGCAGCAGCAGCAGCAGCAGCAGCAGCAGCAGCAGCAGCAGCAGCAGCAGCAGCAGCAGCAGCAGCAGCAGCAGCAGCAGCAGCAGCAGCAGCAGCAGCAGCAGCAGCAGCAGCAGCAGCAGCAGCAGCAGCAGCAGCAGCAGCAGCAGCAGCAGCAGCAGCAGCAGCAGCAGCAGCAGCAGCAGCAGCAGCAGCAGCAGCAGCAGCAGCAGCAGCAGCAGCAGCAGCAGCAGCAGCAGCAGCAGCAGCAGCAGCAGCAGCAGCAGCAGCAGCAGCAGCAGCAGCAGCAGCAGCAGCAGCAGCAGCAGCAGCAGCAGCAGCAGCAGCAGCAGCAGCAGCAGCAGCAGCAGCAGCAGCAGCAGCAGCAGCAGCAGCAGCAGCAGCAGCAGCAGCAGCAGCAGCAGCAGCAGCAGCAGCAGCAGCAGCAGCAGCAGCAGCAGCAGCAGCAGCAGCAGCAGCAGCAGCAGCAGCAGCAGCAGCAGCAGCAGCAGCAGCAGCAGCAGCAGCAGCAGCAGCAGCAGCAGCAGCAGCAGCAGCAGCAGCAGCAGCAGCAGCAGCAGCAGCAGCAGCAGCAGCAGCAGCAGCAGCAGCAGCAGCAGCAGCAGCAGCAGCAGCAGCAGCAGCAGCAGCAGCAGCAGCAGCAGCAGCAGCAGCAGCAGCAGCAGCAGCAGCAGCAGCAGCAGCAGCAGCAGCAGCAGCAGCAGCAGCAGCAGCAGCAGCAGCAGCAGCAGCAGCAGCAGCAGCAGCAGCAGCAGCAGCAGCAGCAGCAGCAGCAGCAGCAGCAGCAGCAGCAGCAGCAGCAGCAGCAGCAGCAGCAGCAGCAGCAGCAGCAGCAGCAGCAGCAGCAGCAGCAGCAGCAGCAGCAGCAGCAGCAGCAGCAGCAGCAGCAGCAGCAGCAGCAGCAGCAGCAGCAGCAGCAGCAGCAGCAGCAGCAGCAGCAGCAGCAGCAGCAGCAGCAGCAGCAGCAGCAGCAGCAGCAGCAGCAGCAGCAGCAGCAGCAGCAGCAGCAGCAGCAGCAGCAGCAGCAGCAGCAGCAGCAGCAGCAGCAGCAGCAGCAGCAGCAGCAGCAGCAGCAGCAGCAGCAGCAGCAGCAGCAGCAGCAGCAGCAGCAGCAGCAGCAGCAGCAGCAGCAGCAGCAGCAGCAGCAGCAGCAGCAGCAGCAGCAGCAGCAGCAGCAGCAGCAGCAGCAGCAGCAGCAGCAGCAGCAGCAGCAGCAGCAGCAGCAGCAGCAGCAGCAGCAGCAGCAGCAGCAGCAGCAGCAGCAGCAGCAGCAGCAGCAGCAGCAGCAGCAGCAGCAGCAGCAGCAGCAGCAGCAGCAGCAGCAGCAGCAGCAGCAGCAGCAGCAGCAGCAGCAGCAGCAGCAGCAGCAGCAGCAGCAGCAGCAGCAGCAGCAGCAGCAGCAGCAGCAGCAGCAGCAGCAGCAGCAGCAGCAGCAGCAGCAGCAGCAGCAGCAGCAGCAGCAGCAGCAGCAGCAGCAGCAGCAGCAGCAGCAGCAGCAGCAGCAGCAGCAGCAGCAGCAGCAGCAGCAGCAGCAGCAGCAGCAGCAGCAGCAGCAGCAGCAGCAGCAGCAGCAGCAGCAGCAGCAGCAGCAGCAGCAGCAGCAGCAGCAGCAGCAGCAGCAGCAGCAGCAGCAGCAGCAGCAGCAGCAGCAGCAGCAGCAGCAGCAGCAGCAGCAGCAGCAGCAGCAGCAGCAGCAGCAGCAGCAGCAGCAGCAGCAGCAGCAGCAGCAGCAGCAGCAGCAGCAGCAGCAGCAGCAGCAGCAGCAGCAGCAGCAGCAGCAGCAGCAGCAGCAGCAGCAGCAGCAGCAGCAGCAGCAGCAGCAGCAGCAGCAGCAGCAGCAGCAGCAGCAGCAGCAGCAGCAGCAGCAGCAGCAGCAGCAGCAGCAGCAGCAGCAGCAGCAGCAGCAGCAGCAGCAGCAGCAGCAGCAGCAGCAGCAGCAGCAGCAGCAGCAGCAGCAGCAGCAGCAGCAGCAGCAGCAGCAGCAGCAGCAGCAGCAGCAGCAGCAGCAGCAGCAGCAGCAGCAGCAGCAGCAGCAGCAGCAGCAGCAGCAGCAGCAGCAGCAGCAGCAGCAGCAGCAGCAGCAGCAGCAGCAGCAGCAGCAGCAGCAGCAGCAGCAGCAGCAGCAGCAGCAGCAGCAGCAGCAGCAGCAGCAGCAGCAGCAGCAGCAGCAGCAGCAGCAGCAGCAGCAGCAGCAGCAGCAGCAGCAGCAGCAGCAGCAGCAGCAGCAGCAGCAGCAGCAGCAGCAGCAGCAGCAGCAGCAGCAGCAGCAGCAGCAGCAGCAGCAGCAGCAGCAGCAGCAGCAGCAGCAGCAGCAGCAGCAGCAGCAGCAGCAGCAGCAGCAGCAGCAGCAGCAGCAGCAGCAGCAGCAGCAGCAGCAGCAGCAGCAGCAGCAGCAGCAGCAGCAGCAGCAGCAGCAGCAGCAGCAGCAGCAGCAGCAGCAGCAGCAGCAGCAGCAGCAGCAGCAGCAGCAGCAGCAGCAGCAGCAGCAGCAGCAGCAGCAGCAGCAGCAGCAGCAGCAGCAGCAGCAGCAGCAGCAGGAGCAGGAGGAGGAAGAGTGGCGGCAGGAGGCGGAGCAGGGAGGGGAGATGGTGCAAGGGGTACAGGAGGTGGAGGTGAGAGGCTCATGCAAGGACCTTAGTACCAACAATCATACTTCGCACGATCAACGGGCCGAGCAGCAGCAGCAGCTGTTAACACTAGAGGAGGAACCAGCAGAGATGCTAAACCAGCGGCAGAACAGCAGCAGCAGCAGCACTCCTGGAAGCAGTAGTGCCGACAGCAGCAGCACGCAGGTGGTGCAGGAGCTGCCATGGGATGTGCTGCAAGGCGTGGTGCAGCGGGTGCAGAGTCCTGTGGACCAGGCGAGAGTGAGACTGGTGTGCCGCGAGTGGCACCACTGCTGCCGCCTCCACACCTCCTGCTTCGCCCTCGCCCTCCACCCCCTCACACTCGCCTGGCTGCCCATCCCCCTGCTCCACCCTCCCCACTTTTCCTCCTCCAAGCCTGATTGCAGCAGTCACAGCATCATGAGCCACCACGAGTCGAGAACAGAAGCAGGTTTCAACAATCCTTCCCTCTTCTCCTCCGCGTGGCTCCCCTCTGACTCTCCCTTCTGGGTCATCCACTCCTCCCCCACCTCCCCCTTCTCCCTGCTCTCCTCATCCTGCCCTCCCTTCACCCTTCCCCCTCCCATCACCCCCTCCTCCCTCTCCTCCTGCTTCACCCACTACATAAACAACGAGGAACACCTCTCTCCCATCTGGTTTGCCTCGCTCCCCTCCCCCTCCTCCCTCGCGCACACCCTCGCCCGCTACCCCAACCTCTCTACGCTCGCCCTGCCCCTCGTCTCCACCACGGCCTGCCCCCTCCGCCCCTCCCATCTTCGCTCTCTGCTCGCCGCTGCTGCCGCTCTCCCTGCTCTCACCTCCCTCTCCTTGCTCCTGGAGCCTGGCTTCTTACCAGAATACAGGTGGGGATATGGGCGGCAGGACTGGCAGGACGACTGGTGGGAGGCTGCTGGAACGGAGGCGAACCAGGAGATCGAGAGGGGGCTGTTTGCCGTGCTGAAGAGATGCCGGGGACTCAAGCAGCTGTGCTTTCAAGGGGAGACCCTCACAGACCGACTCAAACTCCCTGAAAATCTCTTCCTCCGCTGTCCCCAACTCACCTCTCTCTCCCTCCCTCTCTCCCGCCTCCCCTCCTCCCTCCTCCTCCTCTCGCGCCTCACCTCCCTCGCCCTCGCCCTCCCAGAAGACCCCATGCCTCCGCAGCTCTCTCTCCCCTCCCCCTTCGCCCTCCTCCACTCCCTGCGCTCGCTCGCCCTGCACGTGCCAAGCACCCTCAAACGCCACTACCCCCTCAAAGACGGCAGCAGCTGGAGCGGCGTGTCTGACGACCTGCTGCTGGGGCTGCCCTGCTGCCTCTCCACCCTCTCCCTGCACCTCCCCATCTCCACCATTCCTTCCTCCTTCTCCTGCCTCTCTTCCCTCACTAGCCTCGACTCCAACCTCTGGATTCCGGGATTGGATGAGGAGGAGGAGGAGGAGGAGGAAGAGGAGGAGGAAGAGGAGGAAGGGGTGGGAGCGGAGGTGGAAGCGGTGGGAGAGGAGGAGGAACGGGAGGTTGTGGCAGAGGAAGCAAGAAACGTGGGGGAGGATGAGGGCGGTGATGATGGTGATGAGGAGGAGGAAGAGCAAAGCAACGGCTTTGCCAACGCAGGTGTTGCCTCAGGAATTACTGACGAGAGACTGCTGCCTTTCTGCAACCTCACCTCCCTCTCTCTCTCCCACTACCGATCCTTCCCCTCTCTCATTCCCCACCTCACCCGCCTCACCTCCCTCGCCCTCCCATCCCTCAGCTGCGCAAACCACCTCTCTCGCCTCACTCGCCTGCAGGACCTCGTCCTCGCCTGCGGCAGCCGCTGCGACAGTTCCGCCCCGTCTGCCTGCCTGCCCCGCCTGCCCCGTCTGCGTCGCCTGCGCGTGCAATGCCCCGATACATCCGTGTGCGTTGCTCAATTCATCGCCCGCATGGCACCATCTCTCGAGCAGCTTGACGTTCGAGCCGACCTCAACCGTTTCTCTGAGGGAAATTTCTACGCGTGGCGCACAGAGAGCGGTGAATGGACGGCGCCTGTGTTTCCCAAGCTCAAGGTACTTCAGCTACTGGGCAACTCAGGTCCCTCTTCCTACATTGAAATGTCGCTCTTCCCTGCCCTGGAACACGTGGCGCTTGCTGGCAGTCGCCACGTGGCCTGGAAGGTGGAGAGTGGCTTTTCTGCCAACCTGCGCTTCCTGCACCTGGACCGTGCAAAGCTGTCGGGGTATGACTCTGACCGCCACCTGACGCAGCTGACCGCCCTCACCACTCTGGTGGTGGACAATGCTGACTGCCGGGACTTCCTAGCATGCCTCTCCTGCTTCTCCTCCCTGCACACCCTCCGCCTCTCCAACATCACCAGAGGCCTCTCTGAGCCCTATCTCACGTGCCCGCCTCACCTCGCCACGCTTCAGATCTGTCGCTGCGACCTGCCGCACCTCCCATCCTCACTGCTCAAATTCTCCCACCTCACTCGTCTCGACCTCCTCCACTGGCGCCGCTTGCACTCTCTCCCGCCTTTCCTCTCCGCCTTCACGTCGCTCCTCCATTTCAAAGTTACCTGCGATGGCCCCATGCCCCACGTGCCTCCGTGCCTGGAAGAATTTCTCCAAGGGAAGGGATGGTATGAGCATTCGCCGTGTGATGGGAGCTTTGAGGATTGAGCATGTTACGGTAGCTACATCTTCATTGTTCATTACGAGCTGTACCTAATTTTCCCAGACAAGCTCCATGTGGGTGGTGGTAATTGATTGGTGTAAACATATACTTGCGGCAACCAACTTCCTGGTCTTGACAGCAGGCAACGACTGACCATTCATGAATCATCTTCTCCCACGTTCACGGTGTGGGTGGGAGGTGCACACATTGTTGACATCCGCCATACATCCATTTGCCATCCAAGTTTGTAGATGCGAAATGTTTGTCCTCAAGCAACATTTTCTCCATCTTATATTTCGCTCACACGCAGCTGAGTCGAACATCCACCCTCTCACTTGTGCGTGTCTCGAGTTGTCTTCCCTAAACATAGCAATTGTGCGTGCATGCATGTGTGCATGTTATGCTACCAGACTTTGGTCACTCACTCCAACAAAAGTACTTCTGAAGTATGAATCCCACCATCCATTTGTTAAAGGGTTTGATTGGTGTGTTGCAGGCCTCTGGATAGGATTTGGGGTACTTTTTCTCGTAAGGCCAACACCCAGCTGTTACTCTTTCAGTAAGGGTGCTTCACAGAAACTGCTCTTAATGTTAGAATGAACAAGGTTTTGTTGGACTAGAAAGGAGAGAGAGTACAAATAGGAAACCCTAGAGTTGTGACCCCCTATAGGCTAACCCACTACAGCCTACACAAATATAACATATACAATGTTTGACACACCCCCATAGGCGAAGTGGGGGAGAGCAAGGGGTCACAAACCCAGTCAAAGCAAAGCAACACAAGCTCAGGGTGGATCTCAAGGATACCACACAAATTCCGAGCACAAGCAAGTGGTCACAAGACCAGTTCACATGCAGTTTGATAATATAGCAAGAGATACAGTGATCACAACCTAACAAGTGTAAATATGCAGGTATATATATAAAGATCACAGTACAAACAGAGTCAAGAAGTAAGCAAGTGAGGTCCAGTAGGCACAAGGCCTAGAAGAGTACAGAAACGCTGATGGTCACAAGGCTGAAGCGCCTTGGTGAACACATCAGCAGTGTTGGCCTCAGTGGCCACGTAACGCAGACGAAGCTGACCACGCTGCTGCAGCTCTCGAGCAAGGAAGTACCGCAGGGCGATGTGCTTCGTTCTGTGCTCCAGTCTGTGCTCCTCACACAAGGCAATGACAGCCTTGTTGTCGACGTACAGCACTGGAGGAGAACGAGGCCGCTCTCCCAAGTCGGTCAGCAGGTAGGTCAGCCAGCGGAGCTCCTGGGCCGCCATGGCTGTGGCGTAGATCTCAGCCTCACAACTGGAGCTGAGAACAGAAGAAGAGCGTGTAGAACGCCAAGAAACTGAGCCAGAGCCAAGGCTGAAGGTGTAACCCTGAGACGACCGCTGAGTAGCCTGGTCGTCCGCCCAAGAAGCGTCTGAGTGTCCAGTGAGTACAACTCGGTCTCGCCCTCCAAGCACTAGCCCCATGCCCGACGTACTGCACAAGTAGCGCAACACCCTCTTAGCGGCATCCATGTGCTCCTTCCTGTGACGGCCAGGAGTGTCAGAATGAACGGACTGGAATGGTTGAACTAACAGAGAAATCAGTACAAATAGCAAACCCTAGAATTGTGTACCCCATACAGGCTAACCCACTGTAGCCTAACCAAACACAACATATACAATGTTCGACACACCCCCATAGGCAAAGTGGGGGAGAACTAGGGGTCACAAGACCAGTCAGGGCAAAGCAAGACAAAACAAGCTCAGGGTGGATCTCGAGGATTCCACACAAATTCCGAGCACAAGCAAGTGGTCACAAGACCAGTTCACATACAGGTTTATAATAGAGCAAGAGGTACAATGATCACAACCTAGCAAGAGTAAACATGCAGGTATATATATAGAGATCACAGTACACACAGAGTCAAGAAGTAAGTAAGTGAGGTCCAGTAGGCACAAGGCCTAGAAGAGTGCAAAAACGCTGATGGTCACAAGGCTGAAGTGTCAAACATTATACATGTTGTATTTGTGTAGGCTGTAGTGGGTTAGCCTATAGGGGGGTCACAACATTAGGGTTTCATATTTTGTACTCACAATCCTTGCTAGTCCATCATTCCTGCCTGTTCATTCTGACATGGTATCAGAGCAGGTCCTTTGCTAGGACCGCTCCTAGGGCCCACCGCTACCTACCTACCTACCTACCTATCGTGCGCCCTCGTGCGCCCTCGTGCGCCCTCGTGCGCCCTCGTGCGCCCTCGTGCGCCCTCGTGCGCCCTCGTGCGCCTCTCACTACCGAGCGCCCTCGTGCGCCTTCGCGCCCTCGTGCGCCTCTACCTACCGCACGCCCTCGTGCGCCTTAGCGCCCTCGTGCGCCTCTACCTACCGCGCGCCCTCGTGCGCCTCTACCTACCGCGCGCACGCAGCCCGCTAGCCACCCGCGCGCGGCTCGTTTTTAACGCGCGCGACTCGCTAGCCGCCCGTGCGCGGCCGATTTTTCGCGCGCGCGCCTCGCTAGCCGCCCGCGCGCGGCCGATTCTTCGTACGCGTGACCCGCTAGCCGCCCGTGCGTGGCTTAGGGTTTGTCACGCGACCAGCAGCAGCCGCCGCCGAGCCTACAGCAGCGGCCGCCGCCGACCCTGCAGCAGCAGCCGCCGCCGAGCCTACAGCAGCGGCCGCCGCCGAGCCTGCAGCAGCTGCCGCCGCCGAGCCTGCAGCAGCAGCCGCCGCTCGACCTGCAGCAGCTGCCGCCGCCGAGCTTGCAGCAGCAGCCGCCGCTCGACCTGCAGCAGCTGCCGCCGCCGAGCCTACAGCAGCGGCCGCCGCCGACCCTGCAGCAGCAGCCGCCGCTCGACCTGCAGCAGCTGCCGCCGCCGAGCCTACAGCAGCGGCCGCCGCCGACCCTGCAGCAGCTGCCGCCGCCGACCTGCAGCAGCTGCCGCCGCCGAGCCTGCAGCAGCTGCCGCCGCCGAGCCTGCAGCAGCAGCCGCCGCTCGACCTGCAGCAGCTGCCGCCGCCGAGCTTGCAGCAGCAGCCGCCGCTCGACCTGCAGCAGCTGCCGCCGCCGCGCCTGCAGCACCTGCCGCCGCCGACCCTGCAGCAGCAGCCGCCGCCGAGCCTACAGCAGCGGCCGCCGCCGACCCTGCAGCAGCAGCCGCCGCTCGACCTGCAGCAGCTGCCGCCGCCGAGCCTACAGCAGCGGCCGCCGCCGACCCTGCAGCAGCTGCCGCGGAGCTCCCTGCTACGACCTGGCCCCGCCCCGCTGTTGCAGCGGCCACGCTGTCGCCACTGTCTTGCGCCCGCCGCACCAACCACTGGTGAGCTTTGCCCTGCTAGCACTGCTACCGTTACTGCTGCTGCTACTGCCTTTACTGCTCCTGCTGTTGCTGCCGCTCCAGCAGGCTCGTGAGTGGTACGCCGGTTTGGGCAGTCGGGGTGGCCGGCGTGGTAGTCGCTCTGGCGTGCGTCGTTCGGGAGCCCCTGGTAGTGGACAGGTGCAGCAGCCGTGCCCTCTTCTGGTCCAGCAGGCTCGTGAGTGGTACGCCGGTTTGAGCAGTCGGGGTGGCCGTAGTGGTAGTCGCTCTGGCGTCCGTCGTTCGGGAGCCTCAGGTAGTGGACAGGTGCAGCAGCCGTGCCCTCTTCTGCTCCAGCAGGCTCGTGAGTGGTACGCCAGTTTGAGCAGTCGGGGTGACCGTAGTGGTAGTCGCTCTGTGAGTGAGGCAGCCGCTCTCGGTGCCAGTACGTCTGTTGCCCTCGGTGCAGGTGAGGCTACCACTCCCGGTACTCGCGTGTCTGCTACTCCAGGTGCTGGTGAGCCTACTGCTCTAGGTGCTAGTGCGTCTGCTGCTCCAGGTGCTCGCGTGTCTGCTACCCCAGGTGATGGTGAGGCTGCTGCCCTAGGTGCTAGTGCGTCTGTGCCCCCTGGTACTGAGTCGACTGCAGCACTGCACACCTTCACCCTGGACTCAGGTGCTTCTCGCTCTTTCTTTCGTGACCGCACTGTCCTTGAGCCACTCGCTCGGCCAGTTGCTGTCTCCCTTGCTGACCCCTCTAGGGGTCCGGTCATTGCGACCTCCTCCACTGTCCTTCCTTGTCCTGCGGTCCCGTCCGGCACGCTGTCAGGTCTCTACCTCCCCTCGTTCTCTACGAACTTGGTGGCGGGTTGTGCGCTCCAGGACTCGGGTGTTCACCAGTTCACCCCTGCCTACGAGCGCGTGACACACTGCACGTGTGCTCGGACGGGTCGCCACCTGGCTACTTTCACTCGAGAGCCGGGGTCGGACCTGTACACACTGACCACTGAGTCCCCTCAGGTAGCTGCGTCTGCGTCTACGTCTGCGTCTGCGTCAGGTCAGCTGTCCGCCCCCTGCTCGTGTCGCTCTCTAGCGCATGAGACTGTCCTTTGGCACCACCGCCTTGGTCACCCGTCTGTGCAGCGCCTTCGGGCCATGCACAAACGGGACCTTGTTGCTGGTCTTCCCAGGGTGCTCCCTCCCCTTCCCGACTCGCCTGCTCCTCCCTGTATTCCCTGTGTCGAGGGACGGCAGCGCGCCGCTCCTCACTCCTCCTCCTTTCCCCCGACGACTGCTCCCTTGCAGACGCTCCACATGGACGTGTGGGGCCCAGCCCGCGTCCGTGGTCAGGGTCAGGAGAGGTACTTCCTGATTGTTGTTGACGACTTCTCGCGCTACACCACGGTCTTCCCCTTGCGCGCCAAGGGTGACGTCCCTGATGTCTTGATCCCTTGGATCCGCAGATCTCGTCTCCAGCTCAGTGAGCGTTTCCGCTCCGACTTCCCTGTCCTGCGTCTGCACTCTGACAGAGGTGGGGAGTTTTCCTCTGGCCTATTGGAGGCCTTCTGTCAGCAGGAGGGCATTGAGCAGTCGTACACGCTTCCGGCCTCTCCACAGCAGAATGGGGTTGCTGAGCGCCGTATTGGCTTAGTCATGGAGGTCGCTCGTACCTCCTTGAGCCATGCGGCTGCCCCCCATTTTCTGTGGCCGTTTGCAGTCCGATACGCTG